ATAAATTGTGTGCTTTTAGTTAGGCTTATATAGAATTATTTACTCTTATGCAGTAATGTGCTTGTTCAGAACATAACAGTCCATTCTCCATCCAAGTCACCATTCACTAATGGCATTGTCCCAGGTTTGCTAAAATTATTTGGCTTTATATTATCGAATCCTAGGGATGGTCATCTATTTATTATAACTGTTTTTTGCCCTTAATTTGTGCTACTAATGAGTTTACATTTCCATGCACCATAAAAGTTTCCTATATAAAATTTAGAATCTCATAAGAAAACTTTGAGCATTTCGGGTACAATTCCAGATTATGCATGCTTACCGGCATGTAAAAAGTTGATCTTTTTTGTTCCATACGAAAATTTAGTTAAAATAAAATGGTTATGGTCATATTTTAAGATTTCTTTTTTACAAAATTTTATTGGAAAAATTGCTCTACCTCAGTAATAGTCTAGGATTTTCCCTAGAATATTACGTTCTCAATTAAAATAGTCATATTTTTCTCACCATCTTGGATTTTTGTTGAGGGGTATGGTCTACGTACACACACCCTCCTCAGGCCTTACTGTCCTATTGTTGTGTTCAGTTTAGACATCAAAACTTGATCTCACAACTTATGCCTATATTCCATACCCTTTATTCCTGGTGATAAGAGATGAGAGTTTTGATGCAGATTCTTCCAATCACGTCTGCATTGAAAGCAGCAACATTAGCATGGGCCATGATGCTGTTGTGCTCAAAAGTGGTTGGGACGAGTATGGAATTTCCTATGGTAAACCTACTGAAAATGTCCACATCAGAAAGGTTCGCCTGCAGTCTACTGAGGGGGCTGGTGTGGCTTTTGGCAGTGAGATGTCCGGTGGCATCTCAAACATACTCTTAGAGAACATTTTCCTCTATGAATCTCTTCTGGGAATTGAACTGAAGACTGCTAGAGGAAGGGGTGGTTATGTCCAGAACATTCTTCTCTCTGGCGTGGCAATGGAAAATGTGGAGACTGGAATCAAAGCTACCGCTTACGTCGACAGACACCCAGATGATGGATTTGACCCTGCTGCATTACCCGTGCTCAGAAATATCACGTTTAAGGACGTAAACGGAACAAATATCTCCATGGCTGGAAATTTCACAGGATTACCTGAGTCACCCTTCACTTCAGTGTCCCTCTTGGATATCCAGTTTTCTGTTTTACCCCACCCTACAATACCAAAATGGGTATGCTATGCCGTGTTTGGTGTTTCTTCAAATGTGTCCCCTGAACCTTGCCCAGAGCTTCAGAGCCCAATTCCCATCGCATTCATGTGATCATCATCATCATCCCAAAACATCTCATTCTTGGAATCTGTAAAATGAGTTGAAATTCTTTGCTGGTGTGTATACTCCAAATAAAAATGTGAATCAGGAAGGTGTGAGGCGAGCAAATGCTTCAAAGTGGAATTTACATTGCAGATCACCTCTGTACAGCATCTGTTTGTTTGATGTAAGAAAATTTTTGGTAGTCAAGTGTTCATTCATGTGCCTTGTCCCATTTATTTCCAATCTTTTTAGTCTTTTCAGTTTCTTTTTACGGAGTACATTGTAAATTTAGGTGTGGGAGATTTGTGTGGGTTTCAAGATGTGTGGAATGAAGTGAGATATTGTTGCAATAAAAATGTCATTTTGTGAGAATTATTACAGCTGTGTATTACATTGTTACAATTTCTTGGCAGAGCACATAAAAGAAACCAGAACTTCTGTAACCATGTGATAATTACAAAAAGAATTGGTAACTAAGTACATCTGATGCTATGGTATTAAATAAATAAGTATTTGAAAAGAAACAAACTTTGTCATCACTTTCATTAGCCAATAGGCCAAGCAAAGCAGCATCAGTGGAGGGAGGTAATAGATTAATAAATCAAAATTTACTTGTCACTGTCTTCCAAACATGGTATACCTTTTTGCACACTGCTTATCTCTCAAGGAAACACTCAAAAAAAATATACAGGCAAGTGGGATGGGCTGTCATAGTCAGTGATGCATATTTACTTGTGCAATACAAACAAATGAACAAACATACAAATCAAGTGAAAGCTCTACACAACAAACCCCTGTCATCTCTCAGTCACTCACTCCCCAATAATAAAAAAACAAAAAAAAACAAAAGAGAACAAATAAAAGAATCTTAAAGAATTCCCTACTTTCTTTTTCCACCCCCATTGCAAGGCTTTCTTGAGTGTTGTGAAGGAACCAATCTGTTAGGGGTGGTCCTAGGTTGTTGTGGGCTCTTCATCAGTTTCATATTTGGTCTTGGGGGAGTTGTTGTTGGCGTTGACCCCACACCTTTGCCAAATTTAGACTGGTTGAACCGCCAAACCAAATCTTGTTCGGATGAGTCGCTTGTTGCAGCATCAAGTTCATCCAAATCATCCGCGGTCGTGAGGTCGAATTGATTGCACGTCTTTCTTGGGAGTGGTCTGAAGGAATCTGTGAGGTATTTCTGATAAAAAACATCATCGGATTCCCAACCTCCAGACGGGCTTTTTGTGCCTTGCAATGTTTCTGGTTTGTTCACCATCACCTTGTCCACCCACTCACCGAGGCCACCATGCTGCTTAATATTGTTGTTATTCGTATCTCTATAGTTTTTTTCACTTGGACTGCTGACTGGTGGCCACAGTGGAGAATTTCCTAGCAGCTCATCAAGGTCAAAGTGTTGTCCCTTTTCCCTTAATCTAGGCTTGTTTGCCTACAAACAGATGACCATTAATGTTTTGAACACAGAAAATGTAAAGGGGATGAATAAATTACTCTCTTATGTTTAGCTTTACCTTAAAAAATGCAGAGGAAGATGAAATATGATTCATATTTATTTTAAAATCATATACTTTATACTTATACTAATATTTATTATTTATATAATAGTTCTAAACATAAAACTATTTTGAACAACTTCTTATATAATCCCATCTAGGGGAGTCAATATGTAAGCATTAATCAACTTTATCCATGTACAAAACATTGATGTTTTCGTTAGATATGCATTGCTGCATTTACCGCCCAAAACTTCAAAGTCCGTTATTCACCCAAAATTTAAACATTGTAAAAACGACTCTTTTAGCTCCAAAGGCAATGGACACAATAAAACTACTTTGGACAAATAACTAAAATAAATTTATTGAGTTTGATTGTATCTTTGATTTTTCCTTCAAACTTGATATATATCCTTCTCATTTTCCTATCAACATTCTTTTCTGTTTTATTTCCCTAGTTCCAGCCTTCCAGGTTCCAAACGGATCCTTAGAGTTCTCTCCAAGAGAAAATGGAAACGAAGGTTTGAAAATAATCCAAAGAAAAATCGTCAAAAATCAAGTCTACCAAGGAAAAGTACCTCGATGCAATCTACATCTCCCATTAGTTTCCTGCGAGCATTTGAAACTGCAAGTGTCTCCTTCCCAAGCAAATTAGCTTGGTAAGGCGATGATTGGATGTTATGTGGACTGCCATGACGCGTATGTTGTATGGAGACCGGCTCTGCTTCTTTCTTTGCCAATGAAGCCTTCAGACTGGCTATCTGATGCAGCAATGTGATAATATAATAAGCACAGTCGAACCGTCGCTATTACTATAGAACGGAAAGGAAGAGAATAGGAAATAAATGAATGGATAATTATTTCCAATGCATTTTCTTTGGTTTGGTAGGGTGGGAAACGCTCCCTCTGTCCCAAAAAGACTCCCCATTTCCTTTTTGGGATGTCCGAAAAAAGACTCCTCTTTCCATTTCCGGAAAATTTTGTGAGGCCCAACATCTTTCTCTCTTCTCTGCATCACTTTTAACCACACAATTTCATTTTTCTTAAAATTTGTGACACGTGCACCTTATTTCTTTGGCAACTTTACGTCAATATTTTCATTAATTTTCTCTCTAACCAAAATGTAGTATGTCTAACATAATACCTGTTCCTTGAGTTCTTTCACATCAGCAGAATCTTTGTTCACCCTCGCTGCACCGAGTTCCACACCAGCTACTCTCTCCGCAAATTTAAGTGTACTAATTGTTTCTCCAAGAGCATCAGGTTCAGGGCTTATGTGGACAAACATCAATGTTTTTGCGTGTCCTCCTAAAAACATTGGGAAACAAGCCCCAAGATGATGAGACAATATTCTTGAAGGTTAAATCAGTAACAATATTAATTATGTGGCTGAAGTGTAAGAATTTTCTGTCCGAAAGGGCAATAATCATTTCAGCTAAATAAGCAAGTCAATAGTTACTTATATTCTGCCAACAAACAGAACAAGCCGATAATGGATACCAAACAGAGCCTTGATGATTTAACTATATCTATCTATTCTCTAGCCTCACCAAGTGAGTCCTGGAGCAGTTGTGTAAGTTTGCTGTTACGGTAGGGGATGTGTGAACTCTTCTGAGCCAGTGCAGAGATGACATCACCCAGAGCAGAAAGAGATTTGTTAATGTGTTGTGCCTCTTTAAGTCTCTCCCCTGTGACTTGAGATTTGTCCACCCTCTCACTTCCGGCAAGATCAACCAAATGCATGCAACCACGAAGAACAGTTCCAGTAGTCAAATCTTGCCCGCGAACATGAACAGTCAAGCAACTGTACATGTAGAGTGAGCATATATTGTTAAGCTTATGATCCTCAGATTAGCTACATAAATAGATTTTGTGTGACTCTTGAACACAAAAAATTTAAAGAGGGGATAAAAAATAACCTGTGAGAGCGGCTACTATGGTCATTAAGTGCCGTTGCTCCTACAGAACGATTTCGTTGCCCTATTTTCATCAGATCAATAACATCTAAAGTTGAAGCGACACGGGCCACATTAGCATCCGGCACAGTCAGTCCCTCAGAGCACCTACGGATTTCTAATGTAATAACAGATTAAGGAAACTTATAATGAAAAAAGGCTTGAACTTTAGAAAGAAAGAATGCAGGGATTATGTGTAGATGAACTATATGTGCAACATGAAACAAGAAGTAATCTTAGAATGACACAAACAAGTGAAACCCAGAAAACTTTGTGCTGACTATTGAGGATATCTTTTGTTCAACCCATCAGAGCCAAGGAGGTCCCTAACTTGCTCATTATAAATCTCGATCATTTGAACAAAGACGTCATAGTGGAAAGTGTCCTTTCTTTGTTCTGCAAGAAGGAATAAGTCACTCAGTGCCCTGTAGTTCACCCCTTGGGTTTGATCTGTGAGTTCTCTTGGTCCAGTCTATACATGCAAACATAAAAGTCGGTATTATCAGTAGTTCAGTACAGACAAAATGAAAAAAAAAAACATAAACTCTAGTTCATATCTAACCATGGTATAAGTTTTCCCTGATCCGGTTTGACCATATGCAAATATACAAACATTGTAACCATCAAGGACTGATCTAACTAGTGGCTGTGTGTCTGAAAACACTTCCCCTGTTAAAAGAAAAATTATGTTGAATTAATAAAAGCAATAAGTATCAAAGCCTTTCAAGCAAGATGTTTACTAATTGTTAAAGTATAGAAACAATCCATTATAGAAATCCTAATGGGTATACGCCCATCATTTCTCTATGACTCTATATAAGGCATTGAATAATACTATAATAGCTTTGTCCTAAGGGATTTTGAAGTTGTATGATTGTATGTTAAAAGTAATATCAATAGAAGCAGTAGTTTTTTGTTTAACATCAAATACCAATACCAACCTTGAGTGACAGATGGTCCAAATACTTTGTTGAAATTGAAAGACCGTTGTCCTTTCCCATGCCTTGAAGGTGTGTTAATTGTAATTGTGCCATCTTCAATCTGGTCTATGGTGCTACTAAAATAACTTGATTGTCCATGCAAAAAAGGCCTTACTCTACAGTAAACTCTTATGCTTCCTGAATGAAAGTCAAACGTACAACCATTCATTTAAAGACTAAAAGATGACGCAAATTGCACGGTAAGACTTTCATTGAAATGACGTCGGTACCCTTAAGGTCTTGGACTTGATTGTAAAGCTTACGGTTTTCCTCAAGAACTCTATGATAACCTGAAGCTGCATGGGCTAAGCCATGTATGTGCAGGCCTACAAAGCAAGATATGAAATTTTAATGTGAATTTGAAGCCCAACTTAGGAAAATGTCCTGCAATATAACACCTACCAACTTTGTTGATTTCCTCATGAAACCTCATTTGCATGAACTGTACACCCGATTTTGTAGTGGAAAGATTTTGTTTCAACTCCTACATTCGAGTTTTAAAAAATGTCAAACCAATATTGTTTCTATCAAACTTGAAACTTGGGAGCATAGTGAGCTTTTATGCCTTCTTACCTTCAGACACCTCTGTTGTTGGTCAACAATGATTTGGTGCGTAAGACATCTTCTTTGAAGTTCTTCGTCAATGACATTATTGTTCTTCTGAATATCCTCTTTTTTTGTCAATGTAATGTTTCTGTGTTCAACCTTAATCCAAAAAAAAAAAGATGAGCATTCCATGTGTAGTTGAGTTTACACAAATGGATGATAAAACATTCAAATCCTCTACTTTTTGGATAATTATGGAGCCTTTTAACATGCATTCGTTAATTAATACTACGTAGTACATACTTATTTAATATTTTTGCACAAGAAAATCAACAATCAAAATCCTTTTCGAAACTCGCTAATAACACAAGAGAAGTGATTACCTTTGGAATCCCAACAGTTTGTTTTGAAACTGGCTTATTAACATGAGAAACAATCGAATCCTTGAGATTTGCTCTTCTTTGCTGGATATGTGCATCAAGAAGTGCATCAGATTATCTACAAAGTGAGAGGTGAAATATACAAAATGCGTGCACAAACACTCGAGACAGCTGATAACTCTCTTTTATTTGGGTTCATACTAACACAAGAAAGAAAGAATTACAAATAGAAGTCAAGAAACTTGCCATGTCAATTTGGCTTGCAATGCGAAGATCAAACTCCTCTACAACCTTATTCAGCACAGATTCCACAAGCTGTGACAAACAATAGAGATTTAATAATAATAATAATACTAATAATAATAATAATAATAATAATAATAATAACAGTAATAATAATAATCACATTAACTTGCAAAATCATCACCCTAAATTCCTAATAGGTGAGATTTAATTCACACTTATATGCTAGACTCCAACTCAATAGAAATTTTAATAGGGTATCATAAGAGTGGAAACTCACATTCGGAATCTCTTCGGGCTTCTTATCCAAAAGAACTGAATGAACAAGCATGCCAAGAGAAGAGCTAGGCTGCAGTAAAATGTTTAATAAACTTCGGTGACGAAAGAAATAAACTTCAATTCATTTTGGAAATGCACTAACTATACCGGTCTATTAGTCTCAGTCTCAGTTCCTTCTCCCTTCACAGATTTCTCGTTCCCAGACCTTGACGAGGAGCCCATGAATGGCTCCGTATTTCTGCGCGAAATTGGCTTCAAACACACGGTATGCTTTGCAGTCCCCCCAAATTTCCAGATGCCAATTCCACCAGACTGTTTCCATTCACAATAGGATTTGAGACCCAACACACAGTTCACAATCCTCGAAGATGTCCCGCCCTGACAAATTACCAGTTTATTAGGCCATAACACGTGAGATGTTTTCTTCTCTGATTCAGATTCTTGCACTTACTTGTTCAAGATCAGATGCCTCAAAAGTGGGTATTCCCAAAGCTTGCACCGCCACCAGAAAATTCCTTACATTCTCAAAGTACTGATATGCAGACAAAGCTGCTCCATCAGGGAGCAGTGATGCATCACATGGATTTTCAACCACCTGATCAGGATTTAGATCAAATTCAATCAGAGTGATCTTTTTTATCAAATAAAAAATTGATTTAAAACTAAAGCCAACCTTAGGAACTGTCCCGGGTTGAATCTTGTTGAGCACATTGCAGAGAATAATGCCACTCCTTAGGCCAAGCCTGAGTTCTTCCTCAGATGGTTCTCCCGGCAACTCCTTTGCCCCAGCAGCCATGTTCCTCAGCCATGTTGCAGCTTCATATCTCCTCATTGCTGCTTCCATTGCATTCCATTCATATACACACACAAAAATATATTAAAGATAGGCATGTACACATATAACATAGATATGCATGTTCATAAGTGCATTTTCTCAGTAATTTGGAGTGTGATTTGGCTCCGGTAGATCAAAGACTGAGACCCGGCCGGGGGTTGGGTTTCAAGAGTGAAAACTGAAAGTGAAACAAAAACGGAGATCAGAATCCGGAAAGGAAGACATTATTACCGGCTTCCTCTGCCCGGCGGGCGTCCAAATCGAGAGCCCGCAGTGATCGGGTCCCGTGCTGCTGAAGAACATCCTCCACAACAGACGCCACCGAGATTGGGAACGCTCCATCGGACGCCATTTTAGGAAGAAAAAAGAAAAGAGTCGATTTTTAACAATTTCAAATCCCCAGCAGCATGAATTTGGGGTCGGATTCTGCCAAGAAAATCTGGGAAAAGAATTGAAGGAGAAGTGGCGGGAGGTGGTTGTGGTGGTGGCAGGCAACAATGGAAGTTTCTTGATCAATACTGCTGCTGGTGCTGCTGCTGCTAAGTGGCAGTAGGAGTAATGGAGAAGAAAAAGATGAATTATTTACAGGCTGACATTGTATATATATTGCTGTCTGTGGAAATGGTTCTCCTTTTCCTGTTCCTCTGCCTCGTATAGACACCTCCCCCCGCCGCTTTATGCTTCTTGGCAATGGCATCATAACGTGCTTCTTGCTTTTTTTTTAGTTTTTTTTTTGAATATGAATGAGTGAATGAATATATCCCCTGCTTTCTTTCTTTCTTTTTTCCCCCACTCACCCACGTCTTTCAAAAATATATTTTCATTATTCCTCCAAATAAAAGTGAAATTTGTGTTGAATAGGATTAAAACATAAGTCGTAGGACTTAAATTTTTTTATTCTTTAAATAGGACTTAATAATGACTAGTGAGAAAAATAATGTCCAAGTGATATTGGACATTTAATTAAATAATGACTAATAGATAATGACCAATAGTCTTACATTGGAAAATAAAAACATATGGTTCTATATTGAGAAACGTCATAATGTTTTAGTTATATTTAGGTAAATTACCCAAAAAAAGAAATTCATACATTAGATTAGATATAAGTTTTCTCCAAAAGTATGAGAAGTCTTTTAGACTTTTTTTGTATAGAAAAAATGAAGTGGATTGAGGTCGTTCTAAAAAAAATTTTTTAAAAAAAGCTCTGTAGCGTACGTAGTTTGATTGGTCGATCGATATGGGAACAAAAGAGCATTGTGGTCGTGTTCGACTCTAACCCTAGCAAAAACAATATGAGATGTTTTTTGTTTTCTACGTAGTATATCTTTACTTGGACTAAAAACAGATCTCATTCTCAATTGTGTTCGATCACTTGAGATTAAACATTATATTATATTCATTTACTTCATCTCTGGTAATTGTTTGATTTTTTTAAATAATAGAGAAATCATAAGATTCACATATTTATAACTTTAAAAGTGAATAAAGTTAGTAATAATAATTAATAAATGTTTTTCTGCAATGTAATGCTCCGTATAAAAAAGCAAGAAGGTATTTTTTGAGACGAAAAATAAATCAGGTTCAATAATAAATTTTGAACAATATATATAATCTCTTTCCAAATTAAATACAAGCTATCAAAACGGCCTTGTTTTGGAGCTAAAAAACAAGTTACAATTTGTCTCCTTTGTTTAAATAATTTTTTTTTGTTTTATTGAAATTAAAATGTGTCACCTACCTGGGTCAAACAATTTAATTGCTGTGTACTTGTGTTTGGTTAATTATGCATGATATACAATATATATATATATATATATATATATATATATATATATATATATATATATATATATACTCCGTACAAAATAAACACGTAATGCTCCATATATCATATCTTATATTCTTATCACTTTTAATTTACACATAAAATTTAAAAAAATTCACTTTATATTAGATTGTAAATTAATAATTCAAATTAATTAATTTTAAAGTAGTCACATGTGGATTCTGGGGTTACTTTCAGATTTTTTTTTAAATTCTTTCATCTTTTTTTATTGATCCGATCGATGAGGATTAATTTTCATGCATGCATCACCCTACCTTAGATTTCTTGCTTCTCACTCACTCAATTATCAATAATGCATATAATCAAGGTCTCCCTAACATATTTTTTTTATTTATTACTTATTTTAATTTTATTGAAATCAGATCAGATCAGATCAGAACTTATTCCAATTATCAATGTGCAGAAAACATAGCCTAACTAATCTATACATATATAAAAAAATTAGAATGCAGATACCATTTTTCGTGTATTACTTTTGCTTTCATGAATTAAATTGACGTTTTTCTCTCTCAAACATTCTAAGACTAAATTTTATTTCCATATTTAAATTACTTCTCCATATTTTGTGGTTTCTTTTTAAACAAAAAAAAAAAGATGAATGTTGAGACTCAATAGGAAATCTCACAAAGAAAAAGAAATTAAAGGTTTATGTTGGAAATCATTGGGTTATTGGTAGGATTAACATGCGGGCTTTCGGATTAGCCCGGGCCCAATAACCCACTCCCTCCTTACAGATGTCGTGATGGTGTTTGTTACTCCATCCGTCCCAAATTATGCAGTCGCGGGAATTTTTGTTTATTTCTATGTTTTTATTGGTTATTTTATAAAATAAAATATTCTTGACACTTCTTATTTCGAAAAACTTTTCATGTAGTTTTTTTGATATGTATATTTTTTAATACCAATATGTAAATAAAATGAATTGAAAAAACTTAATATTTTGTCTCAGAAATACAACTAATATTTAGGAACTTAGTAGGTGATTTTTGTAACGATAATTATAGGTGTGGGGTATCCCATTTTAAAATTTGAAGGCGTCAGGTGTTGATTAATGATTATTGGGTCCATGAACCATTGTGGTATTTTTTTTCTTTTTCTTTTTTTTTTTTGAAAAAGAATGCCCCTATCACTTCGAGAATTTTGAACAATAGGAGTATTTTTTTTGGCTTGTTCCAATTTATTTACGAGTATTTGATTTATTTTAAAGCAAAAAGTAAAGCATTAGAATGTCACATTCACCCTCATCACATTTACCTACTTTCAAAAAGTAAAGATCTATTTTAAATTTTTGACACTATTTATCTCTAATTTTCACCCAAGTATGTTGGAGTAATTCTCATAACATATTTTTTTAATCCGTATTAATTAAAGTTCTCTCTCATTTTCTTCCTTAAATTGGAAGGAATTTTGTTTTGCTTTTTTTGGTCGAAAAAGAGTTATTTATCATATCTTTTTCTTTCCTTCCTTTTTATCAAATACCTTGAATCAAATATACTACTCCCTCTGTTCTCAAAAACACTTCTTCTTTCATTTTTTCCACTTCCAACAAAACACTTCCCCTTTCTATTTAAAAACCACTTTACCCTTACTTTTTCATACCCTACCTATCACATCATACTTTTTCTCTAATAATCTATCCATCACATCTTACTTTTACTCATCACATCAGGGGCAAAATTGGAAATCCACTACAATTTAACACTTCCTTATTTTTGCCCCCAAATCAAATGGGAAGGGTTTTTCCAAACGGAGGGAGTATAAAGTTTCGTTTGATACACAAAATTCAAACTATGAAATTGAAATTGAAGACGATAATTTCAATTCTATTGTTTGGTAGCAAAAAAATATGTGAGTTTGAAATTGGTAGCGCCAAAAATGAATTGAAATTGGAGAATTTAATTGCATCCAAATCAATTTCATAGAATTTCAATTTGCAATTCCTTTCCAATTCCTCAATTCCGTGTACCAAACGAACCCTAAGGTCCCGTTTGATACATGAAATTCAAATTATAGAATTGGAATTGGGGACTTCAATTCCAATTCTGATATTTGGTAGCACAAAAATTATGTGGATTTGGAATTGATAGTGCAAAAAATGAGTTGGAATTGGCATAATTCATTTCTATGAAATTGAATCCCATGGAATTTCAATTCCTATTCAATTCCAATTCCGTCAATTCCGTATACCAAACGGACCCTAAGGGTCCGACTTTTTAGGGAAAAAATTGTTCATTTGACATAAAAGCAAAAAAAATTAACCAAAAAGAATGTGGATATAACAGCCAATGAGTATTTACAAAATTTTGTCATTTTGGTTTGTAAGAAAATAAAAATTTAAAAAAAATTATCTTATTGAACAATCCCCCAAGAAATAAAATTTAGTGTCTTAGCACCTTAAAATATTTATCATCATCATCATCGGTACAGTATCAGCATTGGTGTATTACAGTTGTATGGCAGTTGCAATCTTGCTATTCTATGGTATGTGGGCAGACAACCTGTACAAGAATGCACATACTAGTAGTAATTTCCAATGCATGATATAAATTGATCCTCCGACTCACAATAATGGTTGAGGGTGAGGATCGGGAGGGAAGACGGTAACAAGGAATCGGTGTATCATCTCAAAACTGGTGAAAGTAATTACAGCAGCCGGTGTCGTCCGCAGTAAATTGGTAGCACAACCACGGTAAAAACCAGGGACGCCCTCTTGCTGGAAAACTTTCCGAATGCAATCAATGACACCCGTGTATCGTTTCTCGGAGTGATGGCCTTGTTCTTGAAGCCTTGATCTCACAACCTGAATGGACACATACTTGTCAAATATAAGAAGTCACAAATTCATTGAGTACTGAATCTTCCTCAGGTAGGGGTGCCTGAAGATCTAGGATTATAGTTGGGTAGACCTTTGGACCTTAAGTTTATGTTGGTGCGTTTTTACGTTAGTATGGTGTGTTTACTGTGCTTTGGGTCTAGTTGCTAGTGTCGGTATGTGTGCTTGTCTCTGTGCTCTTACTTTGCTTGTGTTACTATGTTTACTTTGTTTGAGCCGGGGTTTCTTGAAAACAACCTCTTTACTTCTGACTACGCACACCCTATTGTTTAAGTGATTTTACTGAGTGTGTTATTGAACTCAATCTTACCACATCTAGCTCGTTGGTGTTCATTTGGTAACATAATTAATGTTACCGTTTTTTAATTTCTTGACGTTTTGTTTTCTTTTCAGGTGTCTAGAATAGAAGCATCATTGGTACGGGTATGTTTTGTACATATGGTTATATTATTTACTACAGTATGTATGATGAAGAATTTAAAGGTTTTACGAGGGAGTGGTGCGAGAATCATGAACATGTTTCAAAACATTGAAAGTGTAACATTCCCGTTTCTGAGAACTTCCAAGATCTGTTTTTTAATAACTGAAGCCAAAAACAATGCAGGCAAATAAATTTATTGTCTGTCTTCAGAAAAGTAGGGGATGGGGCAGAACAAATTTTATTGTCTGTCTTCAAACAAAGCAGACCTTCTTCTACTGGGTAGTAGAGAGGTTGTTCCCAGAGAGCCCACGGCTCAAATAAAGGACAAAAATCGCCATATTTTTCTAATTTCTACTCCTTTGTATAGATTCACACCGTTGAGTATTGACATCCATAACAATTGGTACGGTATAATTAAGATGGTGAAATATTTTCCAAAACAAAGCAAAAGAACACACCTCATGTGGATAAGTCAATGTGGATGCAAATATTTTTGAAAGTGATGATGCAACAGCAACATTGGTAGCACTAGGGTTATCTGTCGTGGTGTTATCTGAAAAATCAACAGATCAAGCAATGTCAATGTTCATCCTTTTCAACAGACATGTTCAGGAATATGGATATAGCAAGCATTGTCAAATAAGGCTGTTAAACCCCCCTATCAGTGGCACCTAGAATGCACGGGGTGCATAATCAACCACTTAACCCGATTAGAATTTAGTTGCTAGCATTATATGGGGACCTATTCCACTATGGCCCTGTCTAGAACACAGAAAATGCTAGGGAAAGAAATTAGAGAGGAAAGAAAATGTGAGCGTGTTGGTGGGGTTGGGAAAATTAAAAACTTGCTTCAAACTCAACAAATCAAATTTAGATATTCATTTGAACTCATTTTTGTTTACATATTCCTAGGGTTAATTTTGTTTTTCATCTATGTCCTTTTACTTCATCCTTAATTTGGTCCATATCCTTAAACTCTTGCAATTGATCCCTAACCTTATGCTTTAATTTGAACCTTTTCTTAATTATATTATATCCAAACATTTATTTGAAGTAAACACATGCACGACACCAGATCTAAAATGGAGCTCTGTTAAAAAAAGATTTGATGCTACTTGTACAAGTAGCTTCCATTTGCATTGTGCCATGCAGGTTGGCTACAAAGAATGAATTGTTGTCCCGAGTTGTGAGCTATGCTGCCTTCCCACAGTGATTAGGGGCAAAATCCATGGTGTGATACAAATAAAAACAGGGGAAGCTAGTCTTTATTGACAAACCCCAGCTGTAGGTTTATGTTAAGAGGATATGTTGACAGAAAAGTAAAGAAGGTCAAGCTAAAAAGATGGGAATCAAACGGGATGTGTTAAAAAGGAAAGAGATGCAAAACAAAAATGATTCATATTTTTATCATACTCTGTATATAAATACTACTAAACCTAAATATATGCGAATTATTAAAAGGTTAGATCAAAATTGAATTTCTTTCCTAGGTTCCAAAGCAATTCTAGACACTAATAACCTTTTTCCTTGGTATATACTCTGTACTTTAATATTTTCTCTTTCACTGTGAATATATGAGTTCCAAACAGTGTATCCTGTAGAAGTTCTGAGACACATAAGGAAAAAAACCTGAAATATCAAGTACCTCGATTAGCCAAGTATATCTTGATCTTCTCATATGTTGGAAACTGGATAGCTACATGACTGATACCAGCAAGAGCAGGCACAAGACCACTAACCACCAAAAAGAAACATGTAGGCAATCAACAAGCTTAACTAGCTATCGGAATTCCAATGCATCATGCATTATTTAGAGAATATACTGAAATAGACAGCTAACCTATACAGCCCACGGATGCCCTCTTCAAGAACTATTCTCCTTAATGCCGATAGTGTACTTTTGTATGGAACCACACCAGCTTTCATTCCTTGAGTCTACACATGTTCAGAAACATAGTTTTCAGATCTCTCAATACAATCAACCCCAATTGTTATACCCCTGGATGGCTCCACCAAAACCTCAAACCATCCCTAAACATCCAAAATGCCTTTTCTTTTATTTCCTTTCAAATAAAGTCTTCCTCCACTTATTTTAAGTCCCTTGACCGAAAATAAGAAGACCACTTTTATTTTTTTTAAAGCCTTAAATAATCAAATAACACACTTCCCTTCTTGTTCCTACATAGGGATGAAATTCCAGCCCCATTTTGGTTCCTAAAATCCAACCAAAATTACCATTTACCACAAATAAAAAAATCAGCAAAAAGAGTCTAAAGTTGAATTGTAAAAGTTTCTCCTTTTGTTGACTAATTTCACAACCAAACATGTAGTGTACCTTCCTCACCTTTTCCCCTACAAAAGGCCGAAATAATCTCTTCAAAACAAGCCAAAGAATATCCTCCAAATTCATCCAATATCTCCTTGTGATTTTATTCACTAGAGGCCGAACAAACCAGCCCCATTTTTAGCCAAATAACATCCCACCAAGCCCCACAATGTTTCCCACTTATTTGTGCTACATATGGACGAAATAGACCCTTCCAAAATATGCTAAATAAAGCTTTGTCACAGCCTTGGACTTTCCTCACATGTGGCCGACATACACACCCCAAAAAAAAACAGCCAAAGGAAACCCTCATCCTAATAATCAATGCACTCTGGATGCTGATTTGGGAAGGCAGTAGGAAGCTTCTTTGTTATTGTTTTCTTCTTCATTATTAATGTATTATTTCCCCTTTGTAGTGTGCATATATAGTTCGGCCTTATGGCCATTGTAAGCAGCATATTTTAATTCAAAAACCTTGTTTACTCTTTTGAGTATTCTCTTAAAATAGTGTGATGCTATTTTAGCCAAATTCCTAATTCTATATCTTAAGAGTGGTTCTCTTAAGTGTGAGTTTTAGGTTCTTGATATTTAATTAAGTGTGTCATATCTTGATTGAATTCTAGATTCAAACCCCAAGTTAAGATAAGAGTGTGTTATATCTCTTAACACCAACTTGGTTTATCCCTTCACTTTACCTCTGCCAATTTCATTTCTCACCATTTCTTCTTCTTGAACTTATTCTTTTCTTTCATCAAAAACCCAAAAAAACAACTCTTTGTTCCACCCCCATATTTCGTCCCCCTCATTTCCTCTTCACCATTCCATAATTCCATCTTCAAATAGCAACTTGATTATACCCCGGGTCTCGGGTATAACACCAATATAATACCAACACCATTGGGGTCGGGGACCAGGGTCCAGTTGTGCGCAGTCTTACCCCTGTAAAATACAGAGAGGCTGTTTCTGTTATACCCTTGATGCATTGTTGCATTAAATCCATTTATTGCCCAAACTTCACAAGTACAATGTGCCATTTTGATTTTGTCTGGTATTTGGGTGAATTCAAAACATTATCAATAATTACTCGATTAGCTCCATTAGTAAAAAAACCTTGTCATATAATAAATACATAAGAATTTCACATTTCCGTCCTATTTCGTTTCCAAAAACAGTTAGGAACCAAATGATGCAAAGTGAAACACCTCGTGCTTAGAGAGAATAAGAAAGGCTTTCGGTAAATGGAGCATAATCATTGGACAAAGTGGAACTATAGTGAAGAAAAACACACCTGAAGTCTAGTCTTCACAACCCAAAGAGGATTTGTGGCAATTGTAGTTGCAGCCCCAGCACCAGAAGCTGCAAGCATATTCGCTCCAATAGAAAGATGATGCCTTTCATCTAAATGACCAATAACACATATTCAAAACTGACAGAGAAAACAGAGTATTCAGTTTTAAGAGAAAGAAACTAGATAGAAATTAACTGACCATCAGTGCAGAGAAAAGATTTCAGCTGCTCATATATTGTAAAATACACCTGCAAAAGATATCATCACATGCTGGATCATTTCAGTTAATAGGTTAATGCTATCAATCTTACCCAGCTTAAAAACCAGACCAGAAGAAAAGATTTGGAACTCTTCAGACATAAACAATTCTTACATTTTTTTTTTCACATTTGAATTTTTAATGCCCATGAAAATCTGTTAATTTTAAATAGATAAGGCATGCCATTTTCATGTCTGCCAAAGGTATTCAACAACTAGAAAGCATTGTGCTATTTGTGATGAAACTGATGTTTGACCACTATCACATGTTTTGGAAAAGAATGTCAAGTTCAATCTTAAATTTTTTGTTATTATGTTAGCGAGACATTTTTTTACTTTATTGTGTTCCGATATTTGGAAAAACATGAAAGAGGCAAAACATACTGCCTCTTTTTTACACTAATGAAAACAGGGAAAAGTGGACTCTTGCTATATCACAAGCTAGAGCTGTTTCTTAAATGTTTATTAGTGGTGTGACAGATGCTATATAGCACTGTGTCCAACTCAATACCGGGCACATATGATCATAGTCGGGAAGGAAACATGGATAAATACTCCACCAACTGCACAAGATGAACAAAAATTAGATAAAGGCAGCATTGGAACTGAAGAGGTTTACACTAGTTTTATTGCCTTTTCTTAGCGGCATTTCTGGCATTGTGTTTTTCTTTCTTTTCTTTTTACATATGAGATCCTAAGGGTTATAGTCAGATTAGATCAGTGTCACATATGGTAAACAAAGTGAAGCAAAAGAGTATAGATAGTGTAAGAGAAAGATAAGTGCTGCACAACTTGTACTTCTCCAAAGCATGATATGTTAGCCAAGCCTTAAAAGAAAATTAGACCAAATCAAACAGCATAACAAATTAGTTACTCCGTATATCATTCACAATAGACGGAAGTGGTGCTGAACTAAGGTCAGTCACGGCCTCAAAGGTATTCTAGAAGCAAAAGGATTGAATTCAGAGAGAATGTGACCACGTACAGCCCAATTTGGAAGTAATGCCAAAACCGTGGGAGAAAGCCCACGGTACATCCCGCGCAATCCCTCCCTTTGGAATATCTGTTCTAAGCTACCAAGTATAAGACTCCCTGAACAAACAAGAGGGGAAAAAATGCGGAGTATTAGATTTGCCCTCAAATAATCAGGACGATTACTTTCAAATCTGCCTACTTGTGCAGAAAATTTGAAGAAAAATTAAGTCTTGCTGCAATTAACTTAGTACTACCCCTAATATTAGTGCTGCCAAGCTTTGGTAGCCCGTGAACCTGAAATCTTGTCTTGATAACATCTAAAGGGCATACAAAAGTAGCTGCAATAACTCCTGCAAAAGATTAAAACTCCTGTCTAATAATCCAATCAACAACTGAAACGCAACTCTATTGACTTTGCTGTTCGGGAAGAAAAAAAGTACCGGCGGCGGCACCTGCCCCGGCATTGCAGAGAAGACCTCGAGGACTAGGGCCATGAGCATCTGAAGCCATTGCTATTATGCGTACGGAGAACGAATCGAAAGATAAATTCAGCGGAAATGTCAGCGGCGGCGGGGCGAAATTCACCGGAAAAGCCCTCTCTGGAGAGGCCAATAGCGGACGACCAGCTTCGCATGGCCAGGAGGAGAAGCTCAAAAGGGAGCAATTGAAAGAAGAATCCCCTGTATATATATAACTGTATCTATCTCCCCACCTGTCGTCTTCTTCCTTCCCTCGACAAATAATCGGATTGAATGATGAGAGTTAGCAAGCAACTGTTTGGAGATTCGATGAAATCGAAGAATTAGACAGAGATATGGAAATGGGATCTGGCAGAAGATTTGTTTCAGGAATTGGGGGGTAGGTTTGAGATCCGATGGCGGAAAATCAATGAAAAAGTAAAAAAGAAATTAATTAACTATTGAACCATCCTCGCCCACCCGATTCGCCACAATTTCCAATTTTCCACTCCCCTCAAGAAAAACATCCCCTTTAATCATTTCTTAATTACTCGTGTAATAAATTCTAAAATTGTGTCTTTTCGAAAGAAAAAAAAATCTAAAATTATGTTTTCTTAACTTATCCTTATTACTCCCTCCGTCCGAAAATATTCTTTCCGTGTTGACTTGGCACACTTATTAAGAAATCATTAAAAAAATACCAAATTTCCAAAAATGCACATACTATACACTTTTACATCTCATTTTCTTATTAAAAAAGCAATAAAAAAGTAGATTAGTGATACTCCCTCCGTCCCAAATTATTTGTCACATTTCTATTACCGAGGTAAAATATCAAGTTTTTTCAATTCATTTTATTTACATATTGGTAAAAAAATAAAAAATAAAAATTACATATCAAAAAACTACATGAAAAGTTCTTCGAAATAATAGGTGTCAAGAATATTTTATTTTATCAAATAACCAATGAAAATGAAGAAATAAACAAAAGTTCTCGTAACTGTTGAAAAAACAAATGTGGCAAATAATTTGGGACGGAGGTAGTAAAATAGTAGGGTATTATTGAAATTTATCCTTAAAAAGTATACTAAAAAAGGAAATGGGAAGAATATTTCCGGACAAGCCAAAAAAGAAAGTGGAAAGAATATTTTCGGACGGATGGAGTATTTAACAATTTTTCTTGTTGGAGTCAAATTAGATCGCAAATAATTTTAAATTTAACTATTTTTATATCAGGTGAAGAGAACATAACATAAATCTCTCATCCCCTTGCCTTCCACCCAAGCCCCTCCTCCCAAATTATCGATTTGGTAAAGACCAAATTGACTATTCATAGAGGGGGTGTGAGGTTCAACGGGTTAAATGGTAGAAAATATCAATTTTACAAATAAAACATTGTATATGCCAGTATGAAAATATGACCCTCGTTTTGAGGTTCATAAGAATCGCTAAGCTTTTTGCTTCATTTTATAAAATTTAATTAAAGTTATTTTTCAATTTAATTTATTTTATTATATGTGTAAAATAAAAAACAACATGAAAAGTTCTACTTTTTTCGTTTCTTAAAACATTTTCTGTTTTCACTTTTAGGACAAAAAGTTGTAGAACTTTGATCAAAGCGAAATGATAATAACTTAAATGAGTATGGCTCAAAAAATATCAAAATGTGTAGGGGATAAAAATGCATTTAGGGTATGTATGTTTAGATTGAAGAAAGTATGGACAATTATATTTATTTATGCCAAACTGAAATAATTTATGGAAGATGTAAATAATAAAGTTGAAAATTTGCACAAGATGGATGAAGCACACAATATGAAATGACATGGTCATATTATTTTAATGGACGTCTAACGAAAATAAGTAAATAAATTGATTAATTTTGATCGCCTAAATAGTAACTGAAAATAAAGTTTTATCATAAGCGGGATGGAGTACTTCAAATGGAATTTATACCGAAATATTTAATTGGGAAATATTTTTTTGTTCCATTTAGGATGTTAGCTAAAGTCATTTTTAATTCTATATGTACGAAATTTTGCGTAAAATTTAAAAATAAAAACATACTCGACGTATATTTATTTTGTCCAATATAGAGAAATATTAAAGTTATATACATAAATGACACAAAACTTAAAAACTTGCTACTTTGTATTTGTGAACATTATTAAATTTATAAAAAGCTCTCAAATAATGAAAAAGTAAACATTTATATTTACATGCAACAAATTTGTGAAAATGAATTGTTTTTGTTTGTAATTCTAGCATTTATACCAAACACAACTCCTCTTTAAAATTCACATCATGAAAATTCATCTTTCTTTATGCACTTTTAATGATTATTTAATAAAATTCCATATTTAGTTCACCACTTGCATTTGTGGAATTTTTAATATAATTTTTAAATACCTTATTTTTATTCTTGATTTCTATACAAATTTTAGTTTAAAAACATGTTGAGTTCAAAATAACTTTTGTCAAACTTTATAGGGAGTATATTGAAAAAGAAACTTCATTTTGATTTGGAATTGATAAAAATGCAAGTTTGGTCGAAATTCAGGCCAGATCAAGGTGTTATATTATAAGAATTTTGTATACTCTATTAGCGTATATTGTAAATATTTTATATTCATTGTATTATTTGTGTTTTTCTTGGGCCTATCTTGTTGGGCTTGTAACTTACATATATATCCTCTCGTATCAATGAAATTCCTCAACCAGTTCAATTCACAAATTCTACATGGTATCGGAACAATCTTGGTAACCTAACCCCTGTTTTGCTCTAGTCAATTGCTTCGTCCAAGTCACCGGTTTAGTCATCATCTTCGTCCAAGTCGCTGACTCGCTGGCCTAAGTTAGCGATCATTCGCCCGGTTCTGGACGCCCGTCTCCGTCGCCGACAAAGAAGATTCGTCCATTCATGTTCCAATTGTTCGCCCGTCCCTTTTTCGGTCGAATTTGACTCGACCTGTATGAAAGACTATCAATTGAATCAAGCATGTCCCGCACAAGTACTTTTGGGCTTCTTCTAGTTACTTTTCATTCATTCCAATTTCTTTCAATAACCGGCTCTCTTTTTTTCGGAACAAAGAACATGCTCTAAATTGGGAAGAAAAAACAAGAAAATGATTAAAAATAATCGGTGCATTAATTTAATCTAATCTTCAATTAAATAAAGGAAAGGAAACCAACCAGTCGTTGGGTTCTAATTTCAATATCTCACTCCTCTCTCTGTTTGCCGGGGGGTGTCTTATTATCATCGCTGCCGCTAATAAATGTGTGCCTAATGACTCTGACAGCCGTACTTCGTCCCCAGAGAGCCTCCAAATCCTCAAACAAAACCCTAATCTCTGCTCCCACCACACAGATTCTCAACTTCAACCGACTGATTCTCTTTTCTGCAGAGCTCTGTTTTGATACTTACATGCACAAACAAGTGTCCTCGTAGATATATACACACACGGAGTACTCGTATATATATAGAGTTGTATTGAAGATTGTTCGGTGCGCATTTGCAGCGCCATAAGATGTCTAATTCCGGAGGTTTTGCTGTTTCCCGGAGCCACGGCGGAGACCGATTCTACAGCCCGCCGGCGATGCGGCGGCAACAGATGCAGCAGCAGCAGCAGCTCGTTAAACTCCACCAGCAGCAGCTGTTGCAGAGAAGCAAAGCGGAGGTGGCTGCTACTGCGTCGGTTGGGGATGGGGACTGGACGGAGGTTGGCAATTCAGGGGCGACATTGTCTAAAACGTCATCCCCTTGCTCTTCTTCTCCGCCAGCTCCGCCTCCAGCGAACATCACCAACTTGGATCGCTTGCTGGAATCGGTTACTCCATTGGTGTCAGCTCAGCACCATTCTTCTGAGGTATATATTGGAAGAGTTAGGGTTTGCATCTGGAGAAAATTTCTGGCAAAACCGTGCTATAACCTGCTAGAGGATAACGGGGCTCTGAAAAAATATCACTAGATTTCCATCTACTAATGTCTTCATATGCTGCAAATTGTAGTTCAATTCTTCTCCATCTCATGCTTATATGTCTCATTTCAATATAGCTTCTAGTAACTATACACTTTATCTCATTTTGCAATGTCTCCTACCTGGCTCTTGGTATATGGAGCATACGAGTTTGGGGTATATTGGTGCTACCATAGTTTTATTGATTTGGTGACAATTTTGTGTATTCAGGTTAATGTGAGAGGCCTGATGAATCATGAAGCAGATTCAAGTGCATTTTTTTGCCTAAAGGATCTTTGGGATTCTTTTAGTGAGTGGAGTGCGTACGGAGTGGGTGTGCCGCTGTTGTTGGAAGGAAAAGACCAAATTGTACAATATTATGTTCCCTTTCTGTCTGGGATACAATTGTACATTGACCCGTTGATGTCTTCTTCGTGCTTTAGGTAAACTTTTGTCAGTGTGATGCTTCCATATTAATTCTTCTCTACATTTCGCGTAATGCATTATCAGTGTTCTCTTTTATTGTGTACTACTGTATTATTTTCACCTTTTACCAAGTAAGAGAGTATTTGTTGTTTTGTTAACACCAATTTTGTCATGTTAATATAATTTGATAGTTCTGTTTCATTTAAATTAGTATGGCATTTGCTTGCTGGCTTTAATTTTCCTTCGTAGTATGGTCATACATATGATACATATGAATGACGAGGAGCCATTACCAACTCACCAATTTAATCATATGGATTGCAGCCTTCTGTTCAATTATGGCCATCATTTTTTTAGTACATTATCTTATATATGTTACCAACTTCCCAGGCAAGGAATATCGTCTTTGTTATAGCCACCATTCTAATGTTATAATACAAAAAAAACTATAATCTTATGAATATTTGGAGATAGACCTAATCCCTAGCTATGGGTATCGTTGCACTAATGCTTTGTTTTGTCTTATGCCACATCTCTCAGAAAATCACCACAGTGAAAAGTCAAATGCTAAACTGCTTTCTTACATAGATTCTTAGGGCAATAGCTTATTCCCGACTTGGAGGAGTGCCTCTAATGATTTACAGTCAAATTTAGTGTTTCGTAATTAAGGAATCCCATTTCTTAAGTGAAACCTAGGAAACATGCTAGTTCATGCATATTCAAGCAGGGTATGCATTATGAGATAACATGTGTCTGGTGTCAAAATCATATCATCATTCTTTCATAGTGATCTGTTTTTTAAGGCATGTGTCAAATGTATGCACATTGCGTCTTGTGAACATCTGAGAATTGTTCTTTCAGTAGGGCCGGTGAGGAGAATGCTTCTGAAGCAAGAGAAATTAGCAATGGTGGCAGGACTAACTGTGAAATAGATAGGTCTCCCAGATCTGGTGGCGATGGGAAATTAAATGGAAACTTTTCTGGTGAAGATGGCAAGTCCAATGGGCAACTCTTGTTCGAGTATATGGAACAAGAACAACCACACCATCGTAGACCATTTGCTGACAAGGTGAATTGTTATTTACTATTAAAGTCATAGTGTTTGACAGAATGAGTGTCTGTTCACAGTTCCCTTGTCTAGTTGTCTCCTCGTGGGATGGTTATTTTAAGTTTGTAATTCACGTGACAGATTGCAATTCTAGCATCTCAATTCCCAGAGTTGAAGAAGTGCAGGAGCTGTGATTTGATGCCATCAAGTTGGGTTTCAGTTGCTTGGTATGGTTATGATTTTATGCATGGAGTAGTAGGATATTTAACAAACCATATGTAATTTAGGTTTACCAAGGAAAGTTTGTTGCAGGTATCCAATATATAGAATACCCTTAGGCCACACGCTTCGGGATTTGGATGCATCTTTTTTAACTTTTCATCCCCTGTCCACACGTTCTAGAGGTGCCTCCTTCCTCTCTATAACTGTATGTCCATAGAAACTCAATTTTTAATACGTATTCTACTAATACCTTTATCTATATGCATCTCCCAAGGCTATGTTTGGAAATCAGAAAAATGGTATGAAATTTGGAAATGTCACTCTTCAAAATAGATTCTCAATTGCTTTTGAGATGCTTATCAAGAAGATGAAATTGTGGTCTATATTTATTTAGAAAGAGAACAAACAATATCAGCCACAAATATTTTTCCCTTAAAAATAAAACTTAAGGCCCTGATTTGTTCAATTTCAGGTATAGGTTTTGAATCAAGAATGAAAGTCAGGAGGTTCATTTTGCAAATCCATTCTAATTCCCAATATAAACGTATAAATGGGGAAAAAATCTTGATGACGGTCACCATAGGTGGTTGAAAACTTGAAAGAACAAATGAGTAAATGAAACATAAAAATAAATGGTTAAAATCATATTAGTTGAAGCCTGAAATATTGATTCAGCCAAAGGATTGAGAGGATGGGCTTGGTGTGGGTTCAGTAATGAGTTTTGTGCAGATCTTTTTGTTACTAACAACAAATATGGGTCTGGGATTTCCTAAACTCATACCGAGTACTTGATTCTAGAAAAGTCTAAACCAAAAAAGGGATTGAAAGATCTTTCAGAGATGGATGAAAAATTGAAGTGTGAAGCTAAATCTAGGAAAGTCGAGTGACTAAAAATTTTCAAAATTTAGTATTTACATCTTTAGATCTCTTCTCCTTTATATAGTAGTCATAAACACGGTCATCATAAGCAACACCTTAATATCAAGCAACCCCCCCCCCACACACCACCACCACCACCACACATGCATTCTCTTCATTCCCAAATTTTCATTCCATGCCATTTTCCCAATTCGAAAAAACCCCTAAAGCAACCACACTCCTCTTTTTGGCAACCAGGTAGTTTTACACCACAGCTTCATAGTTCAAGAGATAGGAGAACACAGGGAATGGTTGAACCAGCTGCTGCTGCTGCTTCATCAAGATTTTCTCTACCAGCCTTTGGCCTTGCTTCTTACAAACTGAATGGGTCTCTTCTGAGTCCGTGTGGGCCGCATGAATCTGAGCAAGGTAACACACTCTTTCAGGCTGCGGATACTTGGCTTCGGGATTTGCAGGTTTTTCTTCCCGATTACCAATTTTTTGTCTCACATTATTCCCAATGGAGATGACAACCGCACTGGAAAGCTTAGAAGAAATGTCCGGGCACTGTTTTTACGTGTCCTTTTAATTTTTTTTTGTTAACAGCAGGGTGACAGTCCCCAAACTCGTTCGCATTGTTTGTTGGGGAATTGCTCCGATAGTTACGAAAAATTTTGGAACAATGTATTTACATACTGCACATACACATTCATACTTGTCATAGGCTGTTGTAACAGTTGTTTCTTACTATAAGATGCTTAAACAAGCCTCTTTTTATCATCATTTTATTTTTATATCTAGGTACATACTCTGTTTTGCATAGCAAGTTTGAGTTAAATTATCTAAAACTATTTAAATGTACTTTTTAAAATACAAACTGGAAGGAGTTGAAAAAAATTGAAAGTTAAAAGAAATTGGAAGGAATTGAAAAATATTGTAGAAGTTAATTTAAATGCCTTGTCTCATCATTAACCAAGTTTGATTGTTGTTGGCTCAACTTTAACGTAATTTTGTACACTTGATTTGCAATCTACCTAAGGCAGCAAGAAAAAGTGCAAAAAACACCTAGGGTGGTCACTATCATTATAATTCTATTTCGATCTCAAGAGATTTAGAATTCTTATTTTAATATTTTCATACTTTTTTACTCTTATCTAGGAACATTTCTTACATTCAAATGCTACAATAAATTCATCCTACATTGTACAATTTTGCGTTAGACGGAAAACATGAAATTGTAATCTATAGTACATGAAAACAATTCTAATTCTGTGGCCGAAATTTTTAGATTCGATTGTGAATATTGGCACCGCACAACAAAAGGATGGATGTTCAAAAATGCGGAGTAGTTATTTTACATATATGCTTTTGAAGCACTCTAATGATTCAATATATGCGATTGTACATTTAACAATTTTCTATCATGATTTCATATGCAATGATTATTAACAAAAGTTTATTGCATATTGGTCTAATACGTAAAAACCAATCTTTAGTCGTGGTTTACTTTATGACTTTACGTCACTATTTCACGTGGGACAAACTAACAAAGATTGAAGATCTTGACTTAAAATAAAGAAAATAGTTCAATGAGTCATACTTGAAATGTTGTATATAAAGAAGTCTTCTTAAATTTAAGATTTTATTTACTAATATCATGCAATATTGATGGGTGAAATATATTATATATAGTACATTATATCGACTATTTATATAAAATAGAATTTTAGTGGCTTGTCATCTTATCTCCAATTATGGATTATTTATATGTTTATTACGTTTATCGTCAGATAATATTTTCGCCGTGCATTAGAGAGGTTAGAATCTTGTTTACATTGAGATGGAATAGTCCCACTAATAAACACAAAGTCTTGGGCACACTAATGTGAATCTATTCCTTGTTGGGACTGGATTTACAGGTTGTGTAATTTTCATGCTAGGTCATAAGGATCTGAGACCAAACTCAAAGCAAATTAACCCTGCAATAAATAAATGAAGTCCAAAGATCTTGGGGACATTTAATTATTATTTTAATTTCTAAAAAAATACAAATATTCATCTACGAAAAATAAAAGAGTCTTTGGTTTATAGTCCAAATTATGTCCTATAACAGAGAGAGTACTTCTTACTCAGTAGCCAATTACATTACATCTTCATTCAGATTCTAAAGACTGAAAAAAAACAGAGCAGGGCTGCAGAAGCGCAGGACGTGTGTGACTTCTTCTATACACACTTGGTCAGGTTCCAATTCGTTCGCACCCGCCATGTTTGTTTCTTGCTTAAATCATCATCATCATCATCATAACCATCACCACCATCATCATAATCATCATCATCCCAGCTTAGCATATGTGAAGAAATGACTCACAGCTTCAGGGATGACAGAGAGTCACCCTTCTCTCATAAGAAATCATCCAGAATAGTAGAGAACAAAATGTCATGCACAAATTTGCATCTTTGGAGCTTTTCTTCTTGGTGCTTGTCCATTCTAGAAGATGCTTCTGTGCCACCTCTGCATTGAATCAAACAGAGCCCAACAAAGATAAATCAGCGGCACACAGAGAGTTTGCCGCTAGGCAGCACCCATCAACTGATATGTTGTAAATGTTTTCATGAAAATATAACTTCTTGGTACTCTCTCTGTTCCAATTCGTTGTTTGTTTTCCTTTTTGGTCCTTCTCAATTTTCTGTGCTTGTTTTCATTCATAGAAAGCATTATGTAGTTCATATAGTTTCTCTTTCCTTCACATAAATCTCAACCACACAATTTTAAGTTTGAAATATTTTAATCTCTATGCCCAGTTAATGTGGGCACAACCAATTAGAAAGGAGGGAGTATTACATAATAAGCACAAATACCCATCTACTATCCATTGTTCAATGTCGAAAATTTTTGTAGATTGCATAGGATTCTTGTGGGGTTGTGGTAGAAGGCATGGCGAGGGTAGAGGTACTTAGAGATGTCCTACGACTTCAGGATCTTACAGATGATATGGACTTGGATAGAAATGCCTAGAAATCTAGGGTTAGAGTAGTTAGGGATGTTGTGTTTTTTGCCTTGGTGTTTTTTGCCCAAGTCTTAGAGTCGGTTTGTATGCATTATTTGTCCTTGTTCTTATTTCGTTTGTGCTTTAGTGATGTCTTTGGGTGTGTTGGAAACAACCTCTCTATTTCATGCAGGGGTTTAATGTTTGTGCATACTCACCCTCCCCAGACCCTTCTTATGTGGGATTTTACTGGGTTTGTTGTCGTTATACCACAACACACTAATTTCTAACTCATTCACAAGGGAAAATCAGTATCTAATAATTGAACTTAACAAGATGTTTGTGATAGTTGATAACAAGATGTGGCTATGAAACAAAGGCAGTTTTCTTACCTCTCGCACACATTGCTTCCCTCACTTCTCCCAAGAGAACTTGTTTGATCTGGCTTTTTATCTTGTGTGGTTTCAACTTTGGGAGAAGGTTGTTGATTGTTGACAAATGATAGCATCAAACTATCACCAGCAGCATTTGAGGATGAATCAGCTCTACTAGATTCCTTGACATGAAGATGCAAATTCAAGTTCTGCAACTCTTTCCTCAAAGAGGATAAGCCTGAATGCATCCTGTTGTTCTGAAGCTTCTTTTTAGCAAGAGCGTAGAAACTTGTCAAGTCCACCAAAGTACCCGGGTGTTTCAAAACAAAACAAGGCATTGGTATGCTAAACATAAACATACAGGCCTCATATAACGTACTTACAAAGAAAACTATATTTGGACCCATTCTGAACTACCCATTTTACTCAACTATTTCCCTCAAGTCCCGACTCCCAAACTTATTCATGTTTGTTCCCTAAATTGAAGGAAGATGCATTTGCAAGACATTTTTACTAAAAAAATAATACTTCATGGCTCTATCCCATAAAAAGAGCCATGTTTCACAAAGATACAACATTTTAATTGTAATAAGGTAAGACAATTGGAAATAATCAATATAGCTATTTTAACAAAATTTGTTTGGTTCACTTTTTTTAAAATAAAAAACATTAAATATGAAGACAATTAGCTTCTTTTGTTCAAATAAAACACCTTTTTTTATAAAAATAAGTTTTAAAAAAGGAATCTTTGTTGTGACGGAGAGAGCAATAGTACTTGCAGAGAAAAAGAGAAGTGATAGAAAGTTCTTAAATGGTTGCTTGATAAGAATACAAACGTGACTAGTTCTTAAAAATTTCAATGAGAAGAAAAACCTCTCTAGAGTTTAGAATCCTCCTCCATTCTCACTCTTATTTCTCTCCCAATTGTGCATATAAAGTGTGTCATGCAAGATAGTATGATGGCTCTATGCAAAAAAAACTTAGAATGAAAAAAGAATGAAAATAAACTTTTTTTTGTTCAAATAAGATTCTTTTTTTTTTTGGAACAAAATTAGGCACACCACCATTAGGACATCACCTGTGTGTACTACGCAAAACAGTTCACTGATCCACTCATAAAATAAAGTTTAAAATTGATGAAATTGAAGGATATCTTCAAGAGACTCTCATGTTGTGAAATCACATGTGCAGCCATGTTCATCCGCACACTAGAAGCACAGAGAGGACATATCTGAAAACAAAATTAAATCATCCATTCACATAACAACTTAAATGCTGAATATTAGAGAACACTGAGTACAAAGTACTAGATATTAGATAATTCATTTCATTTGCACTCAAACGCAATGTCAAAAGAGAAATTTGTTCATGAAAGAACAAAGCAGTGCCCTGTCAAACTGATATTTTTCATTCTAAGAACCCAATTGTGCATCTTACCAAACCAAACGATATTAGCAAGCATATTTTCAGCTTCTTCAGGCTTTATTGACTACAGATAAATTTGGGAACAAAATAACGGAGCAACATACAAAAAGCAATATGGAGCTTGAAATTATGGCTAAACAAACTTCATGCTACCATAGTACCATTAGTAATCCAAGTAGTCCAAAACCAAACATCTATACATGCTCACTTCTCAAAATTAGCTTCTAAAATGTAAGGCTCTAATCAACCTGGCGTTTATGCTATAATCTGCAACCCCTTAAAAAGGAATCAAAGAAACCGTTAATTTGCACAAAGCTGTACAAGTTTCCATTCCTTAAACAGATTTCATTTTTATTCTGTAGTTGAAGTTCCCAACTTTATGAAGATTAGACAAATGCTGATATACTTCTAAATGGCAAATAGAAAATTATTGAAAAACAAATCGAAAATGCAAGAAACCGGAGGAGGTGAAAGCTCAAAAGAAACATATTTTTTTACCCCAGATTTGGTCTCCAGACGATGCTCGCTGTCAATATGACAGCACAGACCTAAAACATCAAAGTCATCCGAGCAAAATGGGCATGCCAATTCCGCCTTCCCGTCGTCCTCCGCATCCGTCCTGTTATCATAGCCGTCGTCATAATCGTCGTATTCTTCCTCCTCCTCCTCCGTCTCCTCGACGTCAATATAACTACCAGCTAATCAACACCCGCCGCCGGTTAATTTCAGCAATCACTACACACACACAACACGAAATGACAGTCCAGATGTACTGAAGAAACCTTACCAGATGACGGCTGGCGAATATCTCGCTTCAGAAGAGCCAACAGATAGTCGACGTTATCTTTCCGATCAGCCATCGTCGGTATCCCTCCGGCGAGCAGAAATTGGGTTTATATATATAAGGAGCAGCCGCCTCTTCTCAGATTTTGGAGCTTTTCGGGGAAGAAGACGATGAGGATGATTAGTGTGGGTGAGGTCTAATGGACCTTGGGAGTATCGGGTCAAACTCCCATCCCCGCGTTCTTCGCGTCTATAAACCGGAACTGGAACAAGAAAAAAAAATGAGAAAAGTAAAAAGAAAAAAAAAAGAAGAAAATTTAAGACTTTATGGGCCGCCACACGGACACAGATCTGATTACCGGACGCGTCACTGGAATATTCTTATCCTGTCCCTTTTATAGCCCAAACTAATATACGGTCCAGATTAAACGGCCCAGTATAGTTGGGTCGTTACATTTCGGTTATCGGATCTTTTTGTTTTGCTCTTAAAGTGGATGAGGGTTCAGTTATTATACCAGACATCGAGTATTATTGGTTGTCATATTGGGTGCGATAAATAATTAATGGACATCCCAAAAAGCCCAAATTGTGTAAGTGGGCTGGGAGGTTTACATGCCCCAAAATAGTAACCTAGTCTATTACGGAGTATATGCCAATAGGTTTATTTATTCTTAGTTAGGTTGGTTCAGAAACAAGTTTAAATATCAGTACAATTAGATCAGAACTTATTTCAATAAGATAGAGTGGAGAAAAATTCTCGTAAGCTAGGGTTGATTGGGCAAAGTTGATTGTTGGCGAAGGACTCGACGATATGATACGGATGAGGCCACGACTAGCGTCCCAATTGGTCACGATGATCTATGATATCCCAATCACTATTTCGGATATATTTTTCGGTGGATTACACATGAGATGATTTTTTTTTGTCTGCAATATGGCCGATCTTGAAATCATAAAAAAATATTAGGTAGTGTTTGGCAACTAGCATTTCATTTCAATTCATGTATTTCAATTCCAAAATTTGAAATCTTGAATTTCAAATGACAAGGGGGTGCATGGATTTCAAATTAAACTTTATTATGAATGAGAAGAATTTGACTAAAATCCAATTTCAAAATTTTTAAGTTTCTCAAACATGCAATTTGAACCAAATCCAGATTTGAAATCCAAATCCATGTTCCCAAACATACCATAAGTGTGAAAACACGTACTATAGCCTATTTTGTTTTGTGCGAATTTCTTATATTTTTAAATCGATGCTAATTTTGATTTTTCAAAGTTGCATCCAGGATCGAACTCCCACCCTATATATATCGTCAGCAAGGTTTCACCTAAGAGCATCAACAATAGCAAGACAAAAATGGAATGTCACACGGTGACGTGAAACATTTTAACCAATCAAAAATTGTCCAGTCAGCGTGTGGCAAGTGAATGGAGTGACACGCTCTACAGTGACAAGTCATTATTTTTATCACTTTTTTACATTTTTTTATGTTTTTAAAACATAAAAAAATATTTTTATTATTTATTTTATCAAAAAATTATTCTTCTTTCTTATGCATTTTTTTCATAAAGGAATTTTAAAAAAATATAAAAAAGAAGGGTGGAGTGACACACCCATGCCTCACTAAACAAGGCATTTTAGTCTTATCATGTCATGATATGAGTCGAAACAGCTGATGTGGCAGTGCAAGGCATTCCACTTACCTGCCACTGCACATGCTCTAATACCCTTACCAATTGAGTAACTTGAGTTGTGCCTCGAGAATAACTTTTCCATTTATAAAAAACTGTCATTGTTGGATTATTTTTTAGGAGACTAGAATTGTCAACATATCTCCGTCTCAAAATATTTTTCTCATTTCTTTTTTAATATACTTTTTAAATATAAATGGCTAAATCCTTTCACTTTACCCCTATCTACTTTTTATTTATTTTTTGAATAACAAAAGGAGCTCTAAAAGTTTTAAGTATGTACATTCTTGAAAGCTTGATACTCCTTTTCCTACTCATAAATAAGTATGACAAGTCAACAGGGAAAAAACATTCTCAGATGAAGGGAGTAATATATTTAATACGAATCTCTAAACATACTCTTTTCAATTTATTTCAATTTTTTCCAACTCTTTCAATAGTCCTACTTAGTTTTCACAAATTATGTACGAGTAAAAAATTATTTCCTTCGATTCAAATTTTATTTCATATTATGATTTATGAGACCAAATTTTTAATTTTTTGAAATCAATTTATTTACAAATTTGTATATAGATAAAAAATAAAAATTATATATTAAAAAATTACGTCAAAAATTTTTACAAAACAAGAGGTGACAAAGATATGTTATTTTATCAAATTATCAATGAAAACATACAAATAAACAAAAGTTATTGATAGAAGAAAAATTTATAATCAAAATTGAAACGGAAGGAGTATGTTATTTTTTAGAATTAATTTGTAAAGACAAAGCTTGAAGCCGAGGCATGGAATCCACTCAAATCCAACAAAGGCCACAATGCCAAACAATCAATCTATAAACTATAATAACACATACCTTACAGCTAACACCAAAGAATATTCATATTCTTTACTTTAGTCTTTATTTAAAAAAAATCTTTTTTATAATCTTAAAAAATCATAACCAAAGTTGTCCATGGCCCCCCTTCGATGCTTTGGACAAATCTTTAATCAAACCCCACTCTGCACCAGACAGGTTGTGCCTAATTTTGCATTCTTTTTTTGTTGCTTTAAATAAACAAACTAAATAAAGTTTTCGTTGCGTGTTATGATATTTGATTGAAGTTATTTTCAAATTTTTTTTAATGAAAAATGGTATGAAACTAAGAAATCAAAATTACATATTGAAAAATTACATAAAATAATCTACAAAACTAAAAGTAACATAACGATATTATTTTATCGAATAAGGCACAAAAATATGCCAACAAAGCAAATAAAATTTAACTTTACAAATAGTAAACGAGAACTTTATTAGTAGAGTTAGAGTATTTGTTGCAAGAGTATTATTCTTCCGTGCGATTCAGGTGCTGTTTGGCAAAGTCTTGTGTACTTTTTTTTTCCCTTTCTTGATTTTCGTTTTTGGACTTACTATTCAAAACTTNGGCACGTGAATTATTCCGATGAAACAGATGCCATTATTTCAATGTTGTTTTTTTACTTTAAAGAAAAAATATTACCCATTATTACAAGGCATTAAAACAAAAAAGTAACATTATCTTCACTTTATTCCAAGAATTTTCAAACGCATTGCTCCCTAGTCCCCACCACTCAATGAACTGTACACTATTGGAAGAAAGCTAGGGTCACCCCAAATTTGTCCCCATTTTTCACACCCAAAAACAGAGAAAAAAAAACAGACAATGAACAAAATATCATTGTGAAAATGAAGGGTGAGAGCAAGGTTGAGTCGCAATCGAGGTGACCCTAGAACATAACATTAGTCTAATGATGTTGTTAATTATATGTATGCATCTTAAAGTATACTAGTAATCAATACTCCGTACTAATCAGTCTTATTTAAACAAACAGATCCACAGTGACAGCAATGACAATTTTGTTTGACTTCAAATACAAGTGAGAAGTCACAAGACTCACAAGTCCCAAAAAGGCAAGGAGAAATGGAAGAAAGAGTGGGAGTAAAAGAAACAACCATGATATAGGTGTACCCCAAGTGAGACACTTCGGGTGTGTTTTCCCCGACACTTTTATGGTTCACAATGACACACAATTGTTAGTGCGAGATCGAAAAAATTTAAAGAAAACAAAAGGGGTGAAAGTGGAGGTAGGTAGGTGGGTGGGTAGTTCACAAGACATCCGCCGGCTAATGGCAAAGCATTCTGCGAGAGGTACCTCAAAAGCAAAGTATTCATACATTGGAGGCAAGGCAAAGTATTCATACGTTTCTCCCATCATCATCATATGTATCATCTACAATACCTTAAAACTGATGAGGAGTACAAAGGACATGATGATATGACAACATCATGACATTCCCACTAATGTTTAAATGAAATCTCTAATTTGCCAAAAATAGTAGGGATTACAATAAATACATTCTTAAACACCAACCCAATCTATGGAGGACACTACCCTGCCTTGGCCATACCCACATTCCCATAATCCCCATTGACCCTGACCTGGATTTTGATAGTAATTGTGACCTTAAAGGTCACAATTATGCCTTAATAGTTAAGAGACAAAACTTAAGTTATCAGTTTATAGGGAGAAAGTTGTGCATTTTCAGGTTCACCCATTAAAGCCTCTGTATTATGCATTTCCATAATCCCAATTGACTACGGTTAAGCAGTTATTATGCTAATCTATGTTGAGAACCATAAATGCACACACAAATACAAAGAAAGAACCCAAAGAAATGAATTTCACATTTTTTTATTTCAGAGAGCAGAGTGGCAAATAGAATACAAATCTCCTCTGATAGGATCACAACATGTAATGATGCTATATGTTAATCCGAAGACCATAAAAACAAAAAATTCAAGAAAAAAGGGGGAGGGGGGAGAACAAATTTGATATTTTTTGAACTAAAAGAAAGCTCTGATGGAAAAAAAAATTAATGGAGGAGGAATGAGAGCATCGACGGGGTGAAATCCGAAAGGGCAAAACTAGAGAGAGTATGAATTTACCGGAGGCAAAGGGGAGGGAACGACGGTGAATGGTTCAGGTAGAATGTCCATAGAGGTCGTAAGGTGCCCATAGAGAGTCTAGCGGACATGGCTTCCGGGAATCCAGCCTCAACCAGGGCTTGCCGCTGCCGCTCCAGTGGAGGAGACTCACCGGACCTGGGTGGAGGTTGCGGCAGCTTCCCCTCACATTGTCCCCACCCAAACCGTGCTGGTTCCACCTGTGCTCAATAGGGGCCACATCTCCGGCAAACACTAACAGGAACGGCGGAAGGGAGCCCAATTCGTAGATCCTCCTCGTCTTCTGGATCTCCATCCACCTCTCTATCTGCCTTGTGTACCCCACACGCCTCCATTTCTCCAGATCGATGACCATAACCCCCGTGTTGAAGTAGCACGGATCACGGCCGGCGAATGTGGAGTACAACCTCCGGTCAGACCAGAAATTGGAGGTGAAGTACTTGGTGAAGTTGGCGTGGCAGTACTCCGGAGCTCCGATGGTGTTCGGCCCCAAATTCGTAGTCCATAGCTTGGAGATATCGTCGACCACGACGAGATCA